TCTCTCTCTCTCTCTCTCTCTCTCTCTCTCTCTCTCTCTCTCTCTCTCTCTCTCTCTCTCTCCCTCCCTCCCTCCCCCTCCCTTCCTCCCTTGCTCCCTCCCAAGTTGTTGCTAGAGTGTGTGATCAACAGTCAGCCTCTGATGGTTAGCTGCATTTACTGCCCTCCTCCTCTCATGTGTCCTCTCCTAACTACATCCAAGCCCCATTTATAACATTAAGAATGTGTCAGTCTACAGGGTGTTCCAGCCACACCTGTGTATTTCAAGACTAAAAGGATATAGCTCATCATAGGTACTATTTCTCTTTCAGTCTAACCACTTAAGTGGAAGTATCTCTACATACGTTTTGAATAACATCTATAAAATGGGTAAGCACATATCTGCAAATCTATTGCAATCCATGAATATGAAGCAGGTGGTAAACAAATGTCAGTCAAATCTTAGCATCACAACTTTAGAATCTGCTGCTGTAAAACGAAAAAGAAGGAACTCTCAGATTTCACTACTTTTCACTCTGAAGAACAGCTTGTGCGTGTGTAATTGTACCCTTAACTTCCTTCACTTTCCAATGTAATCCTAGAATTTTGGTTTTTCTTTGCACAATGGAAAAAAGTATAACCCATATGTCAAAAGGAGGAAATGGCACACACATTTCAAACTTTAAATGAGGGGCTGGGAAAAAAGGATTAATGTAGGCAGAAGAAAAAAAAAAGTTTTTCATGAGGCAAGACCCGATGTTACTCTCTGAAGCCTCTTTCTCTCCATGATTTTGAACTTTGCAAAAACATAACAAAAAGGAACGGCTGTACCTGATTCTTTATGCTGGAGTATCTCTTCAGGTGCTTTACAAATTCTGGTCGAGTAGTGTTCCGTACAGCTATGAGAGCCATGCTTCCATTATTTAATCTGAAATTAAACATTTGTATTTAAGAATTAAGAAGTTTATCACAGACTGTGTCTGAAACCACCCCAATATCATTTTGGCTCACAAACATAGTATTCACCAGAGGATACTGACCAATATCAAAAAATCACCATGTTGAACTGACCTAAAATATTTAAACTACACTTTGCTGTGCTCTTGCTGAAGTGAGAGAATCTTTCAAATTAGTTTTATTAATCCCTAGGGTTTCTTCTTAGCAAAACCTGACTGCATGGGCTCTTCGAAAATCAAACCTTCATACACCCTAGTCACATCAAGGAGTAATATTAAATCTGCCACAATTATTTAAGAGTTCTGAACAGGAAGCTAAGGACGCATTTTGAAAAGTATATGGTGACATAGTGTACATCTGCAAATGGTCTGAGATAACCTGCAGCTAGACGTTTTTCTAAAATCTAAACTGTTTATTTATGGGCAGAAGGTCTATGTGACACAGAAGACAAGTCAACGTGCCCTGGGGAGAGGAGGTAGAGTGAAGAATAGCTACCGCATATGTTCAACTAGACAACAGAGCATTTTAATCTTGCAGGACACTTCCAGCCAACAAGAGGGACTAGAAATCTAAAGGTGTGGTCTAGTGCCAACCTAGCCACCCACAAATTCATTAGCTTTGGAAGACATTTTGCAGAAATACATGCAAATAATTTCATGCTTGATTTCAGTGCAAACACAAAGTTATCCCAAGTATACCAATGATATTTAAAGGAGCCTTTAAATCTATGGAGGTTCAAGTAGAGCTGTGAGGATCCTTAGAGGTCACCTCATCTTCTAGCCGTTCTTTGTAAGGATGGACCACTCCCAATGGAAGGCACACAATGGCAAACAAAAGAATTACTAACAGCAAAGCTCTTATCTTCAGATAAGGGCCCAATACTCCACTATCCACTATGTTGTCTATTCCATCTGGAAGCAAACAGCACCAGAGTACCCATGGCATTGTCTTTATATATCATTTTTCTTAGTGGTATGGTTTTATAAACACTATCCCTTCTAATTTGTTCCACATGTTTGCATTTGGAAGAGAACTACTTTTAGTTTCAAAATGGATATTTGCTTAAAAGAATGTGCAAATAAAAGAGAATACTTCTAATCCTGTGAAGATATAAAAGGCCTCACTGCTTATTTCATTAAAATGTAGCCAAGAGACTCCTGTGCACCATTGTTCACATTAAGTGAACCAAAATGTCTCCCTGACTGAAAGCATCAACATAACCCAGATCCCCTGCCAGAGAAGTACGTGCTCTTAACTACTGAGCCATCTCTCCAGCTTTTAGATTGAGGATTTGCTTGTAGTAGAACTGGAGAGCAGAGACATTCACAAGAAACCTCAACCTTTGGTATACTCTTCTCAACAAGCAGTGAAGTGAAAGCAAACAAAAAGTCACAACACAAAGTTATGTCAAGACTCAAGGAATACTTTAGCCAGAGGGTTAGTAAAATGCCAGTGACTATATGGCAGTTTTTTTACAGTTCAAAATTGTTCACACTCTATTGTGCAGACAAATCCTTTAGGAAGATTTAATATCATACAAAGAGAAACTACCTTGTTTACCCATATTTCTCATTCCTTTAAAAATTTAATACTTCATTAATTCTTTGAGAAGTTCATATATTTTGATAACATTAAGCCCCATTTGTTTCCCTAATTCTGCCCAGATCCACTCCCTACATTCTCACCCATTCCCAACTTCATGTTATCTTTCGTCTCCCAATAATACACTGAGTCTATTTTGTATTGCTCAACTCATGAATGTGGGGGCCATGCACATGATCAACTACCAGTGGCCACATCCTTAAAGAAAATGGGCTCTTCCTTCTCTCAGAAACCATCGACAGTTCTTCCCCTCATCGGCTAGGGGTGTGGGCACGAGCCCCTCCCTGTACCATGCTAGAGCATTGACTGGCTGAATCTTACACAGATCCCGTTCAGGCAACCAGAGCTGCTGTTGAATGCATCAGTACTGTCTTGTCCAGAAGACACCATTTTACTGCAGTCCTCCTCTGACCTCGGGCTCTTACAGTCTCTCCACCCCTCTCCCATGATGGTCCTTGAGCTTTGGTGGGGATCAGGAGGAGGATATGGATGCCCCATTTGTAGCTGAGCACTCCATTCACTGACATTTATCCTCTGCACTTTTATCAGAGAATACATGTTTAACATATTTCTAGATAGCAAATAGTTGAAGTATTATTCCCAAAGAGAAAATTATTTATAAAATGTAAGCATTTAGCAGTCCTCAAAATACTCACCTGGTGTCAGGTGCAAAGCCCCTGGGAGCCACTGAACACAGACAGGGGATTGCCATGATGCTGATGTTCAAGAACTGCCCTTGGATGGTTTGCCATTGACCACTATGGTCTAAAGGAAATGGAAGTGGATGGTTGTTACTTTCTCTCCCCAGTCACTAGCGCAAGGTAGGGCTTACAGCACATTCTTTCTGACTCACCAGATTCTGGAGATTGTTCTGTTTTTCTAGAAGTAACAGAAACAAAAATGTGTCACACATATGCAAAGCTAGCATCTACTAAACATGAGGAGACTAGAGAACCCATAATTGCATATGTAAAACATTCCTTAATAGATTATCACGTTATAAATGTATTATAAGGAACAATTTTCATTTTTTAATGACCGGAACTCTTCCTCAATTGCTTTAATATTTAAATTCCATGCTACTCCAAAAATTCTCATAAAGACCAAAACTGTGTGTTTGAGGCTTGTGGCTGTACCTAAAGTCTGGATCCTGGCAGGCACTCAAATAAGTGTTAAACAGATAGATCGGTGGATGACTGGCTGGCTGTCAGTCTGGAGGGATGGTTGCTTCTGAAGACAGGTGATAAACTCTATGTTTACTAGAAGATGTAGGAGTGTATGATTCTAAACTCTTCATTAGTATTTGAGAAAACAGCTAAAAGTACAAGTCTAATAAACTGCTTAAATCAAAGTAGTTTATTCTTTGAAGAGAAATAAAGAGGTGCAGTGGTTAAGAACACTGACTGCTCTTGCAGAGGGCCCACATTCAGTTCCTATCACCACATGGCAGCTCACAATTATCTGCAACTCCAGTTTCAGGGGATCTGACTCCTCTTCTGGTCTGGGCACCAGACATGTATATGGTACATACATGCCGGCAAATCAATTGTACATGTTTTATTAAAAATAAAAATGAGTAACTATATCAACATTACACAGAGCTTTTATTTACCTTTCTTGTTTGTCCTGAGAGCAACCAGCTGGTAAAAATGATATTTTGCAATCCTCTGGCCTAAATAATGAAATTCATAATGAATAGTCATTGGTGTTAGGATACAGAATTTTTGCCTTAGGAAAAACACTTACTGAAGTTTGGCCAAAGCTTTGAGTACAGCAAAGTCTCTCCGCCGACTCGGGGACATCCATCGGTATTTCTCTGCCAGAGCCAAAGTCCTTCCACCAAAGCCGAACATGGCCGAGAACCCAAAGCGAAGAAGCTTGCCAGCAGAGCTAAATGTGCAGACATCTACTGTCTGTATGTGACCTTGGATGGTGTATGCAGTCCCCCAGTGAGTGGTTGCAGCAGCAGACAGCAGAGAGAATGTTTATTTACTTAAGGAATATTGCCAGGTACCATACATCATAGCTACTAACTACCCTTGCTTTCTCTGCATCTGTCTTTACTATAATAACTGTAAATGCCACTTTCAACTTTTCCAGGTGATGAGCAAAGAAACTCAAATTAGTAAATCTTTTTTTTTTTTTTTTTTTTTTTTTTTTTTTTTTTTTGGTTTTTCGAGACAGGGTTTCTCTGTGTAGCTTTGCGCCTTTCCTGGGACTCACTTGGTAGCCCAGGCTGGCCTCGAACTCACAAAGATCCGCCTGGCTCTGCCTCCCGAGTGCTGGGATTAAAGGCGTGCGCCACCACGCCCGGCTTAAATTAGTAAATCTTATAGCCTTGCATGTGATGCCGAAGTAGATGTACCAGGAAAACAGAGCTAATATTGTTTTTGTATTGCGTTTATCTGAACTTGAATGCTATCACACGTGAGTATGCCCTGGTAGTTTTCCTATAATATGATTTTAGTCCTGAAGTACTGGTACAAGCCAACAATAGCACAGATTACATATGCAAATGTATGCATGGACTTTTTCCATTGTGTTTTAAAACTGATTTTAAAATCCATTACTATATTTTCCCCATCAAGATTATAGTCAAACTTCGTTTATTGCTCTTTTCAAAGCAAGTAGTTGAAATGAAAGGCAATTTAACTAGAAGATGACTTGCCTTTGAGCTTTAGTCAAACATTTCTATGCTTAGAGACAGAGAACTTACCATTCCCAGAGAAGACTGACAGAAACACAATAGTTAATTCTGTGAACAAAAGCTTCCTTCTCCCACCTGGACCTCTCTAGAAGAATTCTCACCCATTATTATGTGCATAGTTGCAGTCACTACGTGAGAAATTCCACAAAGAGAATGTGCCAGTACATTCGTAGATCCTGCCAAAACAATTTTGAAATACATATCAGTAGAGTGTGTGTTTTAAATTAACATGTGCTCTTATTACACATAACCATGTATGTTCAGATAAAAATTAATGGAAGTTTATGACAGAAAAAATGGATTAAAAAACATTAGAAATACAGCTTTCCATTCACAGCACAGATAAATGTCAAATGTTTGCACAACTGTCAAACTTCTAAATGATTTAAAAGTTAGAAGAACTCCTCCCCCCTTGCCCCTCGACACCTGCAGCTGGTGGGGTACCTGACCCAACCCCTCACCGGCTACAGCATTCAGGAGAATGGTCCTCTGCCTCATGTGGGCAGTACAGCAGAATAGACAGGGGTGCAGGTAAGCCAGCCCTGAGCACCTGAGAGGGGCATAGCCAGTACAGCCTCCCTTGTCTTCAGTGTGGTGGTGGGGAGGACGGAAAGACGCCCTCCCCTCCTACACCTACCACCTTTAGTTGGTGAAGAAGCTGACTCCTTTACCAGATGCTACACTCGGAAGAGCGGGCCCTGCATCTTGTCTGGGCAGCACAGCAGGACTGACCCTGTTGAGGAGGGCACAGGTGAGCCAGTCCTGAGACTGTGAGCATGGGAGACCTAACCCCACCCCTCATCTGCCATATGGTGGCATGGGTTGGGGGAGAGATGCCCATCAATGCCCGAGGCAGGAGGGAGAGCTGGCCCTGAGGTTATAAGAGCAGGAAGAGCTGTTCCTGCCCTCCACCAGCTACAACACTCGGGAGAGCAGTCCCTGTACCTCACCTGGGCAGCACAACAGAGCTGAGCCTGCTGGTGGGGGTATGAGTGTGCCAGTCCCAATGCTGTGACCATGGAAGAGCTGTCCCCATTACTCATCTGTCACATGGTAACACGAACAGGGAAGAGATGTTCCTCCCCACTGCACCCCCATCCCTTCAACACCTAAGGCAGGTGGAAGAGCTGGCCCTGAGGTCATAAGAGCAGGAGAGCTGCTCCTGCCCCTCATCAGCTGCAGCACTCGGGGGCAGCCCCTACACCTCACCTGGGCAACACAGTAGAGCTGTCCTTGAAGGTGTAAGTGTGGGAGAACAGACCCTGAGGACACGATTCTGGAAACCTTACCCTGGTGACGAGGACATGGGAGAGCTGACCAACCCTGCAACTACCCAGGCCCAGAACCAGAGTTATGTGTTGGCCCACCCCAACATCCACCCCATCTGTGAACTCCTGGATCACGGGGTGGCATGGGGGGTTGGGAGTCGGTCCTGCAGACCCAGGACTGCAGTACCTCCATGACACAGGGCAGCAATGGGATGTCCAGGAAGAGTTCCAGTGAGGGCCCAGTGTTGGTGGTGTAGCAGAGACCAGGGGCCTCGAACCAGACCAATAGTTCTTTGTGATGAACACCTACATGTAAAAATCTATGGATAAAGGGGTTTACTGTGTGACTTACTGTACCACACTATAGCTTCCATGACAAGATTATCCCTTTATTCCTTTTTCCCCCTTTCTTCTCTTAAATTTTATTTTGTGTGTGTTTTATTTTTTGGGAGATGAGGGTGGGTGGGTGATATCAGGAGGCATGATGTGAAAGACACAAAGAATAAATAAAAAGAAAGTTAAATAAATAAAAGTTAGAAAATACCACAAAATATTAGAAAATGGGCTGGAGCCCAGTCATACAGTGCTTATAAGGCTAGCATATGTAAGGCCTCTCTCATGTACCACAAATAAGAGAATGGTTTATTGACTCATACCTATTTTGATCATGATATTTATATTCTCCCTTCAAAATTACAATTATAAAGAGGCTTATTCCATCCAACTTTAACGAATAAGCCTTTAGCTTCTATAAAAAAAAAATGGGCACTCACAGCAGAAAAATGTCTGTATTGAGCAAAGACAAATGCATAGATATATAAATAAGAAAATTCAGTCAATAATGAAAAAATACCTTATCATTTTAAACTCTGACAGGCATGTTCAAAATACATTCTGTGAATCTTAGAGGTAAAACTCTCACTTCAAATGGGTTTCCTTTCTACATCTGAGAGGAAAACTGTCCCATGTGAAGAGAATACTTAAACTGATTATTGCCATCTAAAAATGTATATACAAGATGTAATTTCTGATTTTCATAATCATTGGGCTAATCTAAATACTCTAGAATTCCTCCATCTACTCACTGAAGGGAAAAGCTCCCTAGTGAAGGTCCTGTGATATTTACATGTGACCAACATCATACAGGCTTGCTTCCAAAGGGGGAAGTAACCACTCCTCCTCTCAAGGCCAGTATGAACATTGGAATGTATGGGAAGAGGGTAAATTGGGCAATCTGCTGGATTTGGCTAGCCAGGGGCATTTCTGTGACCATGACCAAGCACTTCAGTAGTGTCACTGGCAACTGTCCTTTGATATTCAGTTGCAGAAGCTGAAATATCTCAGCTGCTGCTACTGTCAGCTAAGATGTCATTGAAATAAGTATTACATAACCAAATATTAAACAACCATAAGCACATTTTAATAACTAATGACAAATAAGCATAATTAAACCAAAACTCTAGCCATAACAATACAATGCCACCAAAGCTCACCTCACTAACTGCTAAAGTCATTCTGACTGATTTGCCAAAAACAAGCTATGCTCTGACTCTAATTACTTAAAATATGACAATATGACTGTTTACTGAAAGGTGCCCATTATGAACAGCATACAAATATCAAAATCATCCTAGTTTTGGTCAGAACAGTTACTCAAGAGAACTAGATAAAGAAATTGGAAAAGAAGGAGTTAAATTGTCATTGGTGCAAATAACATGATCATTTAGAAAACCCCAAAGACTTCAGTAAAGTTGCAGGATACAAAATTAATATGTACATATAATATTTTTATTTACTTATAGCAAACTGTCTCAAAGAAATCAAGACAATAAGCCATTTACAAATACTACCAAAGATACTTAGGAGCAAATTTCCCTGAAGAAATAAAGGACTTGCAAGCTTAAAGCTATAAACATCAATGGAAGAGATTGAAGGTGACAGAAATAAATGCATAGCTATCTTGTGTTCACAAACTAGGAGAGATATTCCTGCTAAAATATCGGCACTATCCTAAGCAGTCCCTATCAAAGGATCCAAAGCAATCTCTATGAAAATTTACATAGCGCTTATACCCTAACTTCAAAATCTACTATAAAGCCCTAGTCGTTGAAACAGCATGCTGCTGGCATTAAAAACAGGTATATATATCAACAGAATATAAGACCAAGACCCTAAATGGATAACTCCAGCACTTATGGTGAACTGGTATTCCATAAACATACAAAAACAAAACAACAAAAGAAAGTTATAGTCACCAAAACTAAACACTGGATGTCCACATGCAGGAGAGTGAAATCAGACTCTCACATAACTTGTACCCAAACCCAACTGACAATTGATTCGATACTGCCAGACCATTAGTGGAAGCCAAGAGAGAGGGAAAGTGCCATGCTGTTGTTCTAATCCCCAAAGGAAAAATGTACACATAGGATTATACCCCACTGAAAAGCTTCACATAGATCAAGAAACTCTAGAGTTGGAGATGAACAACAGAACTGGAAAACACATGGGAAAGCCCATAGCTGATGAGGAGCTTACATCCAAAATACAGACAAGTGTCATTTGTGAAGGCAACCCAGCCTAAGAAATATGTTTTTAAGTGCCTTTGTCACCATGCCAACTTCAAAGAGCAGATTCACACAATCCTGGATCATATAACCTTGAACATACCTAAACTATATGCCATTGCTCCTAGCTTCAAGCCAGGTTACTGTGCTGGACAATATAGATAACTCTAACACCATGGTAAGGCTATATCAAAGGTAAAGGAAAAATACCAAGAAGGATTTTAAAAACAACAATCAAAGGTGCTTATGTACCATGAGTGGGGCTTCCAGAAATGAGGTTGATTAAATCAAGGCATGGGTGTAAAGGACTTGGACAATGCTGCACACTATTATCAATTTTATAAATGCTATACTTCTGTATTATAGTAAATTTAAATTCTGTATTACTACTAAGTTAACTTTAGCTTCCTGTGCATTTATAACCTTTTACATTTTTAAAACTTTTTGACTATTTTTCTATTAACTGGAATTCCCCCCCCCTTTTATTGAAAATATATTCTTTTCTCATACAATATATCCTGATTAAAGTTTCCCCTCTCTCTACTCCATTCAGTTCCTCCCCTCCTCCCCTTCCATGCAGATCCACTCCCTTCTTTCTGTCTCTCATTAGAAAAGAACAGGCTGCTAAAGAGGTAACAACAAAACATAAAAAATAAGGTATAATAAGATAAAACAAAACCCATCAAATTGAAGTTGGACAAGGCAATCCAATAGAAGGGTTTAGAAAGAAAGCCCAAGAGAAGGCACAAGAATCAAAGATCCACTCGTTCACACTCAGGAGTCCCATAAAAATACTAAACTAAAAGCTATAATATATACACAGAGTACCTGGTGAAAGCCCATGTAGGCCCAGTGCTTGCTACTTCAGTTTCTGAGTTCATATGGGCCTTGCTCAGCTGATTTAGGGGGCCTTGTTCTCCTGGTGTCCTCCTTCCCCTCTGGCTTTTACACTTTCTTTCTGTTTAATCTTCCAATGGTTCCCCTGAGTCCGATGGGAGGGATTTGATGGACACATCCCACTCGAAGCTGTGTGTTCCAAGGTCTCTCTCTCCGTCTCTCTCTATAAATAATGTTTGGCTATGGGGCTATGTATTTGTTCCCATCTGCTGCAGGAAGAAGCCTCTCTGATGATGGCTGAATAAGGCACTATCTATGAGTTCATAATAGTTATGTTAAACTATGGACTTTTAAAATTATGTCCTTGCTGTGGGATGTCTTTCTGTATGCTGTGAATATGTGTTGCTTCTATTGGTTAATAAATAAAGCTGCATTGGCCTATGTCAGGGCAGAATGGAGCCAAGCAGGAAATCCAAGAGAGATAGAGAGAGAATGGTGGAGTCA